ATTTTCAAATTTGAGCCTAAACTTCACAAGCAAATTTGTCTTTATTTTGTGAGATACTCACCATGTTTATGGACCATACTATCAATATTAAATTGATGCTCCAACTTACAGTGTGAAAATGTTTCCTCAGCAGACGAAAACAACCTGAAGAGACAAGCAATAATCTCCTGGGACAGTCTTCGGGGGAAGTCAAAATACTAACCACCCGCCCCCCAAATTACCCAAAGACTTCTGGGTAACATAGCTTTCTCTAATACCATGTGTGTCTCTCAAATCACAAAAGTCCCCTACTTAATTCTTTCTCCTCCCAATGAAACGGCACGGCACATGCTTTTAGACTCAAAGCACACAACTGCACATCTGGCACATTCTCAGAGTGCCAGAATTCAAGTGACCCTGGTTGTCACACAGCACCTGCCTTGCAATGTGAAGAGTAACACCTCGTTGTATGTAACCTCCAACACTGAAGGACATGAAAGACAAGGATATACAGCAGAAGCTGCCTTCTTCTGTCTGCCTAGCACACAGGTAATTCTCAACAAATGTTTGCCAAGATAGGTCATTTGGGTTGTCCTCACAGCCTATCATAGGGCACTGCACTATGGAGGCTCAATAAATAGTGTGTAGTCATTTCTCCTCTCCAATAGGAACGCTCTACGCTCTACATCACCAGTCTACATATGCCCCTAATACCGGAGGCTCAGCAGCACTGGTCAATGTCAAACACCCCTTTTTCATGCCCACACACCCCGAAGTCACTTTCTTGAAACTAAGATGGAGGACATTAAGTGGAAAGAAGGTGTGTAATGGGAATATAAACCGAAGCTTCATGACTTTGAACAAGTAGGGGGCTCTGTTGCCACATTTCCCCTAAGAACAAAAGGCATCAATCCCTCCCTCAATCATGGAGGTGAGACAGGGCTGTTTAAATGGCTCAATGGAACATTCCAAGTCATATTACAGGATGGTAGAAACAAAAGCTCTCTTCCAGACTATGCACTCCCAAAATCTGTTACCCAAGTAACAGGATTAAAACTACCCATACTGTGCCTTCATGGAAACAGAGGACTCCATCCCTGATTTAAGACTAAAGTGTGGTTTTTTGGTTTGAGATGAGGTCTAGCTAGGTAGCTCAGGTTGGCCTGGGAGTCGTGGCCATTCTCCTGCCTCAGCCTCCAGAGTGAACGGTATTAGGATCTGTGTGTTGGAGGTGGGGGTGAGGGTTGCCAGGGCTGAAGAGACAAAACCATAGCGACTCCAGGCTCCGCCCCCCGGGCCACGTGAGCGGTCCCTGTCAATCAGCAGCCACGCGTGGGCCAGGGCCTCCGGCCCGCCACGTGCTCGCTAGTTCCGCGGCGCGCTTTCCACGCGGGCACGAACCTGTCACAGAACAGGCAGGGCGTGTGCTGCCGGCCGTGCGCGGGCTCAGCGTCCTCGTCCTCCCAACCGGCGTCGTCTCCGCTGTCCGACAGCTCTGGGGGCTCCGGCCCCAGGTCGGCGCCTTGGCCTGCGGAGCACACAGTCAGC